TTGAACCGTGGTCCCTGTGATTTGCTAAGCTTGTTCTAAGTAGGTGTTTTAGACCATTGAGCCATCTCACCAGCCCCTAAGTGATTCTTATATACACTACAGTTCAAGAAGGTATTAAACTTAAGCATTAAGCTTTAAGCATTAAGACATTAAGCTCAAGAATATTTCCACATTTATCTTCTGCTTTCTTATCCTCGCATTGGAAATGAACTCTACTTATTCCATTCATTCAAATATTTCACTAATTATTAATTTATTGACTACTATGTCTCAGGCATCATTAAGCCAAGAGCAAACTCCAACGTTCACTTTTAACTTGCTTTGACATCCTGGTTTAAAAAAAAAAAAAAAAAGAAAAAAGAAAACTTAACAAAATTTGCTGTCAGCTGAATAATCTCTAGGGCTCAAATGAGTACCTTTAAAGAGCATGGATTCATGTTAGTGGAGCCAACAGAAATAAGCCACTCCAGCTATTTCTGCACACGTATACAATCATTACATTTCCCAAAGAAATTGGGAAACAAGAGCTGACAGGGCAAATAAATGTAACTTCACATGTCAACTCTAGATAATCATTTATAGTAACCCTATTAATTGCCACCTTGAGTGCTTCCTGTAGGATCATGAAGCTGAATTTCAATTTTAGCAAGAGACGTTTGATTACTGATAACTACGGGGAGATGAAAGGTGTATTTGGAAGCAAGTAACTGAACTTTTCTAGGCGTCAAATTCGTTATTGTAAGGTCATGTGGATTCACCACCCATTTTCTTTCCTTGTCCTGACTAAAAATCAGATGACCTTGACTGATTGTTCTGTGACCCTGCCAGCCACAGGTTTTCCAAGTTGGAGCCTTGCACGTTCCGTTAGACTGAAGCACTGAAACTCACCCTGACCCTGACCTTGACCCCAAATTCCTTAAACTCTCACAGAAGCTCGACACCCCCTCCCCGCAGCCGTCCTCGGCACGTCCCAAGGACCAGCTGCAGCCCCCCATAAATTCCCCCTTGTAAATGCTTTGGATTGACTGCCCGGGCAGTTGTGCTTCTTTCTTTGGAATGCCAACCAGCTCCATCTCCAGGCAGTTTGAAACAAAACCTGGTGGGATAACGAGACGGAAGGAAAGAGAAGAGAGAAGAGGAAAGAGAACGCGGAGCTGAAGATTCCGGCCCCATAGAGCACTTGCTCCCTCTCGCGGTTTTAATTCTCCTCCAAGCCGCCTCCGTGTAGCTCACAGGCCGGCGGCTGCTTCTCACAAGAGGGAGCCCTTGAGCAAATCCCCGGGCAGGGGACGCTGACGCACTGAAGAAATAGGAAACTCAAACACCTCAAGCTTTTCCCACCTTAAAAAGTTTCCGAGCGACTCCGCCCTTCACTCTGGCGACTCCGAGCTAGAGCCCGCCTCCAGAACGCTGGCCCCAACCCCGGCGAAGGGGTGGGACCCGTGGTGCGTCACTCGTCGGCGCCCGTAGGCGGGACGCTGCTGCGCTGTTTACGGGGTGACGTCACGCACGTGATCTGTTCAGCCAGCCAATGGATGGGCGCGGGGGGAAATTTCGAATGTGGCGGCGGCAGTAGCGGGCTAGGAGGGCCTGCGGCGCGGCGCTGGAACGCGGGGCTCGCGCCCGGCGGACGGCTTCGCGCGGCCTTGGGATGTGAAGAAGAGGGCGACAGCTGCAGAAGTCCCGGCCAAGGTATCGTTTCGGCCGCGCCTGAAGAGGGTCCCCCCTTCCATCAGCTCCCTTAACTTCGGCGTTTCCCGTGTCCCTCCGAGAGAAAGGCCTCAGATTTTCAGGCGCAGAACTAGGGCTGCCTGCACAGCCGCTCCCAGCCTCTGGATGGTTACTGAGTTCGGGGGTCGCAAACTCACACTGTGGAGTCAGAACGGCCTGGCTCATTGTGCTCTCCGCCACCTTACTTGCATTTAGATAAGTGGGGACCCGAACCTCCCACCCTGCCGAATTGTTTCGATTAAGTGATATGCAAATAAAATATTTTAAAAAGTAGCCGATTTAGGTTAAGTGATATGCAAATTAAAAAACTTTTAAAAAGTGACTGTTTCTTTATGCCACCGTTGCCATCTTGTTCTTGTCCCGGACTTTGGTTTTCTTGGTAATGCAGGAGAAACCGACAGGTACTAACAATGCCGTCCCTGGCTTTCTCTTCTGCAGGACTGATCTCAGAATATGAGCAGACAATAACCGGTTCATCTTCTTTTGAGTATCCTGCACACCGAGGCCATGGCCCTTTGCTGACTTGTATTTTCATTCCTTCTGCCACACCTCCTGTTGACACTGTTGGCCTGGACAGGAAGTAAGACTTCGGATATAGCACGTTTCTTTTATGATTTTTAGCTTCTTTAGATGCAGTAACAGAAGCTTTTTTAGATAAGACTTTGCTTTTAAAATAACTCAACTGCATCAGTTAATCTGCTCCACCTCTTTTCTTTCTTCTTTTTTTTGAGACACAGTCTTGCCATATAGTAGAGGATGGCTTTGAATTCACTTTGTAGCCCAGACTGATCTGGATCCTCCTGCTTCAGCCTCCCCAGTGCCCAGTGCTGGTATTATAGTCATGCAACACCATCCCTGGCCTGCCAGGCTGTCAAACACCTTCAGTTCAAACTTCAAAAGCCTCACTGTAGTAAATTGTTTTATACAACCCACCTACCACCAGTGTTTTTTATAAAGTCAAACCACTTCAACTGAAAACGTGCCAATATATGCACATTCATAGAAATAAAATATTTAAATTGATGTACAATATCTAAGGCCCAAAGCCCTGTAGAAAATATTCAAGAAAATATTAAATTTAAGAAATACTTGACTCGGGCTGGGGAGATGGCTCAGTGGAAGAAGCACTTCCCTGGCAAGCGCAAGGGTCTGAGTTCAATCCTCAGTTCCACAAAAAAAAAGACTTGACTCGAGCCATCAAGCTTTCCTTTATGGGTAGAGTTGTATGCATAGTTTGTTACAGGAAACAATTTTTTAAACAATTTTGAGATCTCTAAATTGTAATACACACTATAAGAAAATTGTTCATGAAAACAGATAGTGGTACATGCCTGTACTCCCAACACTGACAAACTGTGACAGGCATATTGTAAGTTTGAGCCCAGCCTGAACAATTTATCAACTCTATTCCAAAATTAAAAATTTTTAAAAGTTCCAGAGTTGTAGCTCAGTGTGAGGGCCCTGGGTTCAGTTCCCAGTAACACATTAAAAAAAAAAAATGTTTATGTTTACTAGCATGCTGGAGCATATCTGATTTGTAGCACTGAAAGATTTAACATACTTATTACCTGTGCTTTAACATACTCAGCATATGTTGTCAGTGCATGTTTTGTTACTTTTAACTGTATGTCGACTTTATTTAATGTTCTCTTCATTATGTTCATAATGTGTTGGGAGTTACCAAACTAGATTTATCAGAAACTGAGATTCCTAACATGTTTCTCTACTGTTGTTTCCACCTCTATAATTGTCATAGCCTGCTAAAATTGTACATAGTGCTACACAATGATTTGGAGAATCACCCTGGATTTCTTGAATGTTTGTGCCCATCTTAAGTGATACTTGGGTGAAAAGTGTAGAAGAGATACAATTGGTTCATTGACCTAATCCAATAAATAGTTTTTAAAAAGCTGAAAACAACCAGTACTGCCTCTGAATGAATGCTGTAATCTCATTCGGTACAAGTTGGCCATAAATATTGTAAGAAGCATAAATAATAGTGGCATCAAAATGTAATAGTCTACTGTGAAAGGGAAAGAAACTGCTCAAAATGAAAGAACAACTGAGATGACAGAAAGGAGAAAAGAAAGAAGGGAAAGAAAAAATATACATATGTACACAAGATAGCTAAGGTAATTGTCCTACTAATTTCTCTTGGTTAATTAAAAGGAACAGTTAATGCTTAATTTTTTTTTAAACATTTATTGTGTGTGTGTGTGTGTGTGTGTGTGTGTGTGTGTGTGTAGCCAGCTCAGCCCACCAGGGGGCGAGGCTGGCTGGCATGTGGTGCTGGAGGATCGAACCGTGGTCCCTGTGCTTTGCCAAGCTTGTTCCATGTAGGTGCTTTAGACCACTGAGCCATCTCGCCAGCCCCCCAATGCTTAATTTTTGTGTCAATTTTGTATGCCTATTTCTGGGAATCTGAACCACTACTTTGAATATAACAATATGCAGTATAACAACCATTGTTATTTTCCTATCTTCTTTTGAAATTCTGCATTGTTTCTAATGTTTTGGGTTTTTTGTTTTTTTGTTTTTTGTTTTTTTGGCGGAACTGGGGATTGAACTCAGACCCTTGCACTTGCCAGGGAAGTACTTATTCCCCTGAGCCATCTCCCCGGCCCTGTTTTGGTTTCTATTTTTTTTTTTTTTTTAATTTTTATCCTCTTTTTTTAAAATGTAATAATAAACTAGATTTGGTTGTACATGCCTGGGGTCCCAGCTACTTGGGACACCAAGACTGGATTTGTTTGAGCCCACAAGTTCAGGCCAGCCAGGACAACATCCCATTTCAGAATAAGAATTTAAAAGGACTGGTGATGAACCTCATTGTTTGGGAACTTGCCTAGAATTCATGAAACTCTGGATTTAATTCTCAGTACCACCAAAACAAATAAAAATAAGCATTTCTCATAGTGCCTAGACAGGGGTGGCGAACTTCAGGCACACATGCCACAGCAGGTTGTTTTTTTATCATTGAAAGCTCTAAAAGACTTATCATCACTGGCCTAGAATGTGTCTTCAATGAGTATCTGTTAAAAAATAAGTGACATTTGATGGAATCAGAGTTAAGTGTCAAAAATATTCATGAGATTTTATAGATGTGGATTTTTCAAAGAAGGAACTATACAATAGGCATGAATGGTTCTGACATCTGTTTTGTTTTTGAGATGGGGTTCACTGTGTTGCCCAGGCTGACCGCACACTCATGACCACCCTGCCTCAGCCTCCTGAATAGCTGGGATTACAGGTGCACAGCACAGTGCCCAGATAGTAATAAGATTTTAAAGCTGCAAAAGCAAAAATATCACAGGTTAGTTGGCTACTTTGAGTTAATTTTTTAAGTTGCCACTTAATTCCATGTGAAACTGTGTTTTCAGTTTGAAATTTGTATAAATATTATCTGTGGAAAAAAAAATGTTTTCTGTTCTTTTTAAATTTGTAGGCAGAAGATGGCCAAGGAAAGATGCCAGAAAAAGTCCTTTCAAGATAGTCTTGAAGACTTAAAGAAGCGAATGAAAGAGAAAAGGAATAAAAACTTGGCAGAGGCTGGCAAGCGCAGGTCCTTTATCCCTGCACCATGCCAAGTCATCAGTAAGAGCTGTTTATGTTGTCCTTTTGCATCACTTATTAAGTTTATATTTAATAACCAGTAAACTTATTTTATTCTCTTTTAGCCAGCACTGGTACACTGCTGAAAAATTACCAGGATAACAACAGAATGTTAGTTTTAGCTTTGGAAAATGAAAAATCCAAAGTAAGAGAAGCCCAGGATATCATCCTACAGCTAAGAAAAGAATGTTACTACCTTACATGTCAGCTCTATGCACTGAAAGAAAGACTTACTTCACAACAAACAGAAGATACTGCTCAGGTATTTTTTACAAAGGCTAAATTTCTTAGGGAAGAATAAAAAGTTTTGATCAATTTATAACTTAATTAACTGTGGACAACTCTGTTATTACTAATTTGATTAAAATGTCCTCCTGAGTTTCACAGGTATTTTGTATGGCCAGCTAAGAAAACCTTGAGCATATAGGTAAACAAAGATGAGAACTTCTTTGACTTGGGTCTGCAAGCAGGTAGCAGGACGATATATAGAAAAAGTTGTTTAGCCTTTTGCACTGCTAGCTTGAATGTTTAATTCTGTGAGTTAGAGGTTGGGCAACTAAGCTAAAAGTCTGCAGGTGTTAGCTGAGGTGGACCAGTCCAAAGCTTTAAATCACTGCCATCTTAATTTTATCTTTGTTGAATAGTTTTGCTATATCGTCTGCTTTTGGAGAATTTTTTTTTTTTTTTTTTTAGAATCATTTTTAACCTAGTTGACTAAATAAGACTCTCAGACAATAAATATCCTAAACCTTTGGCCGACCACATTTTTAATTTGATTTTGTTTGTGTACAAAGATTATAAAGGAGTTTAAATATGGGCCTACCAGGCAAAAGATAACAGACATGGACAAAGTTGGTTCTAGGACATTCTTTGGGTTTCACTGTGTGATAAGTCTGGGAAGAGTGATGATGAGCCAGTTTCTCTTCCCTTTCCTCAGAAACCACCGCCAGGGAAATTAGATGGGGAAGAGGAGGGGGAAAGCAGTGGTGAGCGTCAAATGCCAGCAGGCCACTTTGCTTTCTTCTCAGCGGCCATTTGCTGTACCAGTGGAGAGAGTACAGTGGCCCATAGGCTGGAAGGCCAGACAAGCCACACCATACTGAATGGGATAGGACGATGACAAACAGGGACATGAGAAAAGAATCCGAGTCATTGCCCTCTTGACAGCAGAAGTGAGAAAGACTTCTTTCTTCCTTGTAACAAATGATTGTTTACTTAAACTACATGTGATAAAGAGACGTGTGATATATACATGTCATGTGTACAAACAGAGTATAGTTGAATTGCTTTATGAAGTTTAGCTATGATTTCTGCACTTTTGTATAACTTAGATTATTTTTTAGATTTTTTCTTCTGAATTGCTTTATGAAGATTAGCTATGATTTCTGCGCTTTTGTATAACTTAGATTATTTTTTAGATTTTTTCTTCTGAATATAATTTTTTGTTCTTTCATTTCCTTGTCCAGTCAATTAGGAGGAGAAAAGCCCTCCAAAAGCCTGTCAGACGTCCTCCTCTGTTCCCAAACTTTGCTAAATCACACATCAATATGAGATGAATACTCAAAAAAGTTACAAAATGTAGCGGTGAAAAGATCCTGTTATTGTGGGCCCTTTAACATTTATTAGTGATTTTTTTTCCTTTAGTATTTTTGAAAATATATGAGTTGCTGAGCACATGCTGTTGTGGCATTTGAAATATCAAAGTTTATATTCTCTCCTCTGCTCATCACATGTGTTTCTCATTTTCAACCATCATATTCTACTTGTATTTCACTGTCTGAGTCAACTTCAGTGGGATAGAAAAGCTGAAGTGGGTCTTTTTAATAATACTATAGTATAGTTCACTATTCTTTTCTTCTTTATTTACCTTGAATAATAATTCTATTTTCAAACATTAATTTCCAGCTGGGCACGGTGACTCAGGTCTGCAATCCCAGCCTGCTGGAAGGCCCAGGCAGAAGGAGGATTCCAACTTCAAGCCCAGATTGGATAGCTTAATGATTTAGCAAGACTCTCTTTTTTATTATTATTATTTTATTTGCTTACTTATTTGGCACAAGGTCTTACTGTGCAGCTCAGACGGGTAGTGATCCTCCTGTCTCGGCCTCCCCAGTGCTGGGATTGCAGGCATGTGCCGCCACACCTGGTTTTGGTAGCCGGCACAGGGCACCCAGAGTTCAGGGGCCGGCATGGCTTATAGTACCAGAGATCGAACCTGGGTCCTTGCACTTGTTATGCAGGCGCTTAGAGCATCGAGCTATCTCCCCAACCCAAGACTTGCTTTTTTTAAAAATAAAAAAATACTAAAGATATTCAGTAAAGAACCACTCCACCCCCGAAAAAGTGATTTTCAAGTTACTTTATTTCTGATGCACAGTTTTAGCCTATTCACTACAAAATCAATGTTATAAATAATCAGATTTGAAATATTACTTGAGTTAAATTAGAATGGTGTCTTATGAATTAGATGGGAACTCCCCTTTGACACAGGTCTACGAATCTCCTTCTGTCTATTCTTGTGATCGCCACATCCCCTCCTGTTATAGTGGTGGAAGTGTCTGCTCCTATCTAGAACCTGCACTCCCCATGTGTCCGATGCCCTTCCCACACCTCCTTTAGAATTTCATTCCTGGAAATTTGTTCTCCTTATGTTCTTTTCTACTACCTCTTCCAGCCCTCATATAAAGGTGCATGGGTATCTCTTGCTTAAAAGGAAAAGAAAATAAAACCTCCCCCGGTCCCTTATAGCATCTATCTTATTTCTCCGCTATTTTTCACAGCAGAACCTTTCCAGAAAAAACAGTGCAGTAATTATCTGCATTTCTCCAGCTCGCATTCACATTTCAAATCCTTTTTTGTGATGGGGGTACCAGGGTTAAATTCAGGGCCTTTGCACTGAACTACACCCCAGCTCTTTTTTTTGTTCAGTATGTCACTAAGTTGCGTGGGCTGGGATCTAATTTGCAATCCTCCTACCTCGGCCTCCTAGCATGCTGGCATTAGAGGCATGTGCCATCATATCCAGCTTTCAAACCATCCCCCCCTCCCACTTTTTTTTTAAAATAATGTTTTTAGGGCTGGGAATGGTGGCCTGAACTACATAATGAGACCCTGTCATTGTTGGGAGGCTGACACAAGAGGATCGCTACAAGTTTGAGGCCAGCCTGGACTCCACAGTCTCAAAAAAAGCCAGCAGGTAGACATTATATAAAGCTAAGGGAGGGGATGTCTACCGCTGGTAACTTTCAAATTCATCACTCAAGACCTATACTCACATGCACTCTCATACACAGCTATTACTTAATATCTCCATGTTTAGGAAGGATCTCATACTTTATATAATTCACAGCTGTTTTGTCTTGTCCCAGACATGTTCTATACCTCTGCCTCCCCCTGTAATTCTTACCCAGTATAGAGGTACACTCATCTGCTCAAGCCAAAACCATGGGAAGCTTCCTTCGCCTTTGGTGTCCTCTCTTCTATCTAGATCTATTCAGTCCTTGTTCATAATTCCTTATCTCAGGGCCTTCCAGTGGACCTCACCTCCACATCATGTCTTGCTTGATTTCTGGGATGGTTTTCTAATTTTTTGGCTCCTTTTTGTTTTTGTTTTCTTTTGAGACAGGGTCTCACTATGTAGTTCAGGCTGCTCTTGAACTTGCTGTGTACCCTGGCCATCCTTGAACTTGCAGCATTCCTCTCGCCTCAGCCTCCTAAGTGCTGGGATTAGGTGTGCACACCACACCCAGCTCCCTTGGCTATTTCGGCCCATGTCTTACACAGTGGCCCAGCTGAGCTTTTACATCTTCTCATTGTACCCCCTGCTTAGGATTGTGCTTTCCCACCACACTGAGACTGCATTCCACACGTTGGGCTCTCAGGGCCCTACATTGTCTGACTTCTGAGTATACATCTCATAGTGCCAGTGGCTATGTGCTAGACACATCAACCTTTTCTGGAGATAAAATGAAGTTTGCCTGTGCTATGGCTTTTTTTTTTTTCCCCAGAACCAGGGATTGAACCCAGGCCCTTGCGCTTGCCAGGGAAGCATTTATTCTACTGAGCCATCTCCCCAGTCCTATGGCATTTTTATTTGCTGTTTCTACCTCCTACTTTTTCAATGGCTGATTATTTTTCAGTCTTTAGGTAAAATACACTCTTTAGAAAGAAAGCCTGTAATGTGTTTATTCTGTCATTTCATTTTGGTGTTTCCTTCATAATACTTAGAACTATCTAAAAGTTATATATGTATCTATTTTCTTTTTGATCTTCTCTACCTGCACTAGGATATTATAAGTTTCAAGAGGATAGGATTTGATCTTTTAGTTGTTACAATTCCAGTTCCTAAAACTTCATGGTACTATAAAAGACTGTCAATAAGTGTATATTGTTGAATAAATATAAATACTTCAATAGAAACAGTGTTTTCTTCTGTTTTAATGCATTAACAGGACCAGGAAATATGTCTGTCAGGAATGGACTCCAATAATGGCGACAACCCCAAGGACTTATTTGCAAAGGATTTACTGTTAGTATTAATTTCATTACTGTGATTTTTTTTTTTCCCAGAACCAGGGTTTGAACTCAGGCCCTTGTGCTTGCCAGGGAAGCGCTTATTCCACTGAGCCATCTCCCTCGCCCCACTATGATTATTAATACTGAGATTGATTTCATTCTCTGGTCCATGTCTGTCATACTGACTCTCATATTTGGAGTGAAGTGGTCTCTCTACTGATTATATTTAAGAAAATTAATTATATGTTTCTAAGAAAAATAAGCTTGACAAATTCTTAAAACTTTCAGTCATATTTTTCTCTATACCATATTTTTATTATCAGAAATTGGCAAATTATTAAAATAGTGATACTTTGCCATTCAAAAATAGTCTGATTTAGGAAAAAGTATATATTTAACACATCTGTCACACACTAATGCAATTTCTTATCAGACTCCATACACCCTCTTTTAGATCCAGCACACTTTATATTTGCATCTGGATTTGAAATTTAATCACATCTTACACCTTTCAATGAATTTGACTAAGATACATAGCTATAAAACCAAAGATTCAATTAAGATACAGAATACTGCCCTCATTCTAGCATGGAACTCCTCAGTCTTGGTACCATGGACCTTGTAAGTCAAGTGATTGTTTGCCCATCCATCGTGGGATGTTGTAGCATTTTTTACCTCAACCTATTTCATTGCCAGTAATATCCCCCTTTCCAGTTCGGAGAAACAAAATGATTTCAGATACTGCCAAGTCTCTGCAAAGGCTAACTGCCCCCAGGTGAGAACGGCTGCCAAAAGCAGTTCCCTGGAATCCTATACAAATCTATCCCCTTCTCAGTGAAGTGATGAAAAATGTTTTCTTTTAGTCATTTTAGCTTTTAAACTGTTAAAATTGAATATCTGACAAAGAATGTTATAAACAAAAAGCAAAACATAATATTTTAAGATTTCTCAAGGAATTACTAGTTACTGCAGTTCTATATCTGTTGCCTAAATATATTTAAGTTTTGACATCTAGAGTAGGAAATTCTAACACAGAGCAAAAAATAAAACTCCAGTTAGGATGAATTACCAGTAATAGGTTTTGAGAATAAAGAAAAGTTCTTGTTTCAAGAACCGGGTAACAACAGTGTTTAAGAACTTCAGAAGAGGTTAGTGGTCGGTAACCATATTACCAACAAATCACAGCTCTGCTCTGCTAATGATAAAACAAGCTAGCTGTAGCAACCAAATTGCATGGTTAAAGACCTGAAGTCAATTTGGGTTGACTTGCTCCAGTTAAATGAAACTGAATTGTGCCATATTTTTTTTTCTCCTAATGACAGGTATTTCTTTATTCCTTCCATAAGACAGATTTGTGTCCATGTCACAAAATGATTAATAGCTTGGGAATTTTTTAATGTAGGAGTAAGTAGTTCCCAGTTATGCTGAGTTTTCTGAAATAACAGAATATAGTTTGATCCCCAGTACCACAAAAAAAAAAAAAAAA